AAGAGCGTAAAGGGGGTGTCCGGGGATGCCAAAGCGACCCTCGTAGAACCACACTCGTGGTTCTTGGATCATAATCACGTCCGCTCTAGCCTCACTAGCAGCTTGGAGGGCACTCTCGTGCGTGTCGCGTGCTCGTGTTACATTAGCCTGAAAGACGCGTAGCCTAGAGTTGTTCAGGCTATCGCGAGAGGGGGTCGAGTGTCCACTCATAGGCCAGCGGCCCTCTTGGAGGGCGTTTTGTGGCGGCTAGAGCGGCGGACTGCATCGTCGTACGACGTGTAGTCGCTCAACTGGACCACTATCATATCCTCATCAGCTGGGGACTGGCTCTGGTCAGAGCTGTCGTTCTCGGGGCCGGAGGGGGCGGAGCTATGGCTGGGCAGCTCGTCGGAAGACGTAGTGGTATTTTCCTGGCTGTCGGAGGGAGCGGCGCGGTCATATTTCATAGTGAAAAGAATGCCGCCTTCGTGGCGAATCTTCTTCCGTTGTTGAGGGGTTGGGCGAGTGACGGTATCTCCTTGGCGTTTTGGGCGCATAGGACACTCGGCATGGGTAGACTTATAAGGGCCACGGCAGTTGGCGCATTGAACCTGGTGGTCACACTCACCGTGGGCATTATGTCCGCATTGTGGGCATTTGGCAGCGCGAGCGCACCGTCTACGGCCATGCCACTCAAAGCCTTTTGTACACTGGTTTAGTGGGCGGCGTTTCTGGACGAGGCGGCTGATGTTGCTAACGTCAAAAAGACGGAAGGGAGAGACAGGCTTTTCAAAGGAGATAAGCCAGGTTGCATAGGCCTCACCAGGACGGTAGTACTGGGAGGAACGAAAGTGACTAAACACTAATGGAAACCGCTAGAATTTCTCCTATAACATAATCTATCCTCCCTAACCATTCTGGTCTCAAGCTAGGAAAAAGAAATGTAAAGGGTGAAAGAAAGAGACTTTAAGGATATTAACGTCAAACTAATCGTGAAAAGCTAATAGTGAAAACTCGTCCCGACGAACAGCCGACGGATACCATCAGCTCTTGGACGGCGGAACAGCTTGGGCGGTATTCTAGTGGTAACCAGAGTACATTTTTGCCATTGCAGGTAATCCACGACTTATCCTGTCCTATGCCGTATCCTTGCGCTACTAGATCATTTAGCCGAATTGCGTTTTCCGTAGTAGCTGTAGCTACTTCGATGCGCCCAGCATCGGTCATAAGGTAACGGCCCGTAGGATCAAACAATGAATGCGCTACTGGTATACCGACGTCAATAGTTACAAAGCATTGCCCTGACGTGGGATCCCAGATCTTGATCGTGTT